GATACCTCGTTAGCTGCCGCTGTGGAACCCTCCACTGTTGCCGCATCCCGTTCCGCTGCTTCCAGTGCAACCGCCAACTTTATCGCGCCGTTATATTTCAAACTGTCTTCCGCGAATAACCGTTGCCGTATGACGTCACTTCGAAGCCCACAAACCAGCTGATCACGCAGATTGTCCTCTAATACACTGCCGAAGTCACAATTTCTTGATAACTTTTTTAGCTCAGTGACGTATTGCGCTACTGTTTCATCACTCCGCTGCCTTCTTTGCCGAAACCGGTACCGTTCCGCCATTATCGAGGGTTGAGGTTGGAGATGCTGCCGCATTAAGGTGACCGCCGCCTCGTATGTCAACTCCGCTGGTTTCTTAGGGCTCGCCAAACTACTCAACAGTTCGTAGCTCTCATCTCCGATCGCTGTGATTAAAGTTGGCAGCCATAAATTATTTTCTACCCTATTGACTTTAAAATACATTTCCAGTCTCTCCACATATAACGTCCAATTCCCGGAACTGATGTTGAAGTCAGTGACCTTTCCGAATGACATTTTTCACTTTTATCCTCGTCGCCAATAAACTATTTGGGATATAGTTGATTAAAACAAGTATTCACGGTGGCTTGTATATTGCGAATGAATGTGGTACACAGGTCCTACCTTATTATATACAATATTAATAATTATCAGATTACCTACATTACTACAGATATATTTTCCATTGATGGAAAATACTATTTAACATTAATTGATGCATTTAGCAAATTAGGTTAAGCTATTGAAATTCTTAATAAATCTACACCCGAAGTTGTAAGAGCGCTAATTAAATATTTTTCTAATTATGGGATTCCTAAGAAAATCAGTTCGGATCCGGGAACCGAATTTAATAATGAATTATTAAAAGAATTTTTAAATTTACATAAGGTCTCTCTTCACATAGGTACTCCAAACAATCCCAATTCAATGGGTTTGATTGAAAGGCTACATTCCACTATTATCGAAATTTATAGGATAGCGAAGTATGAATAGAAATGCACCGATGCCGCCTCGGTTATGACATACAGTATAATGGCATATAATCATACAATACACTCTACAACAGGATTAACCCCGTTTGAAGTTGTCTTTGGACATACGGATAGCGATAGCCCATTTAATCTAGCATTCGAAAAAGCATACGTGCAACAGTTAGTAAAGGACCATGCCAAACGTACAGCGTTTCTGTATCAATATTTATCAGACAAAATGATAGAAAGCAAGGAAAAGGTTAGAGATAAGAGGGGTGGTGAATCAGGATTAGAATTTTCTGAAGGAGAAACAATTTATGTAAAAAGTGTTAATAAACGAAAAGGTAAAGACAAGGCACGATATAATAAAGCAAAAATAATAGGAAAAACAGATAAAAACATAATTCCACTCAGAATAGGTGAGAGGGATACCAAGGCTCCGATTAAAAATATTAAACGCCCTCCACAGGTGGTGTATTCTGATTATAACGACCCCGGTGCTGGCCCTTCGTCTGCAAAACCTTGATGGGAACCCCGGGATCCTGCCTGTAAAGGAAGGTCAAGCATTCTTACAAACCGACTACTGGACAATTATAAAAAATATAAACTTAGAGAACATTCATAATGATCTAATGTACACCTTAACAAAATTTGACGAATTTAAGATATTAGTTACATCAAACGAATCATTTCCTCAAGATTTTGTCGTTATTCTAAAACATGCGGAATATTTACGTGATATGACAATAGACAAGTATCACCAATTGATTCCAAAGAGATTTAAGAGAGGACTTATCAACCCGTTAGGGTCGATCGTCAAAATTATCACTGGTAACTTAGATCATGAAGACGCTTTAAAATATGATAAATTAATAAAAAACTTGAATACTAACCAAATCGTTGTTTCCAAAAAATTAACTTTCATATCTACAATGTTCGATAGCATTATTAATACAACAGAAACTATTAATAATAATACTGTTAACTTAGACACCCGTCTGAAAATGGCAGAGACTAGTATTAAAGAATTAGTAAATAAAGAAAATGATTGGCTACTTTCCTTGTATCTCATGGGCTTATATAATATGTTTGTTAGTAACTTTAGAACTATTTTTATTAAATTAAGTGAAATGGAAACTGCTTTAGCTTTAAGTAAAAGCTCTATATTGCATCAGTCCATTGTAAACTCGACTGAACTTATGGCACATCTAAAAATTATTGCTAATGCTGAAAATTTAGTTTATATACCTAATGAAGATAATTTAGTACGGATAGAGGAAACCATTCGTGTTAAATCATATTTAAAGAAAAACCAGATAACGTTCATTATGGAAGTTCCACTTATTGATAATACTACATATAATTATTTTAAATTGTATTCCTTACCTGTTTTCCAAAAACCTGAAAATATAACCTTAACTATATTTCCTAAATACCCTTACCTTTTGGCGAAAGGTTTGAAATATTTACCGATCATGAAGAAGTGCAGCGTCCTTGCTACAAGAAATCACTTCCTGTGTGCAATGGATGATACAGTACTATACCAAGAACTTACCTGCGTGGAACAGCTGATGAAATTCGACACTAACGTTAGCATTTGCATACAACGCCCGATCCATGTTGAAGACGTAAAGGTGCAGAAAATTAACACTGGAAACTGGATTTTATATACAAAATTCAAGGAAACATTAACACAAGAATGTAATGGTGAAATGAGCAAATACTCTATACTGGGAACCTATGTTTTGACTTTGGAGGAGCCCTGTGAATTAAGAATAGGAAACATCCAGATTGGTCACCATCAAGTATACACAGAAAGGGATTATGCATCACCAATTCCTATAATCAACTTACCGCAGCTACGAGTGAACGTCGCTCTATCCGGTGCACATGTACTCAATATGAAGGATGTCAAACTAGATGAGATTAAGTACATGTCACAAGCGCTTAAACACAGTGAAGTGATAGATAGTGTTTTTAACAGAGAAACAGACTCTAAAATCAGTGTATTAGTGTATGTCTTATTAAGTATAGTAAGCCTTGGTTCTATTATAATATTTTTATACATGTTTAGAAATAAAATTATTAATTTTCCATTTATGAAAAATTATCGGAAAAACACACAAGGTGAAAATTCCGATAATTTTCCATCTGGGGATGGAGGAGTTATGTTACCCCCCTCGCCCTTCTGTATTAGACTAAAGGGGGTTTAGTCAGCACCCTGGATACAATTCCTGTGAATACGTGGGCGTCGCTGTCTGGCCCTCTTGGACAGTTTTTATTAAGAATAAATCATTCTTTTGCTAGCCTCCAAATCGGCAGCACCTAGTATTAAGGCTTAGATTTAATTTTCTGTATTTTTATATTTTTTAAAAAATAAAGTTTGAGCTCCCAAAACTTGACTACTTACAGATCCTTGTTTTCTCCAATTTTGGTTAACAGACGAGCTGCGTCGCCAAGAAGCAAAACAAAACTGTTCTGTGAAGCGTGTTGCGTGCGGACATGTCAGTGTTGCCAGTATTGTAAAAAATGTACAAATTTGGATTCAATATAAAGGTACTCGTACCAAATATGCCAAACATTACTAAATAACTAAAATTTAATGAGCTGTTATAAAATTAGATTATTAGGTACCCGACTTTTTCTTGAAAGTAATAAAAAAACTGGCCTATCTTACACAGTCCACTCGACAACATGATGATCATACAGTCAAGAAAGTCATGAAAATTTATGAGGCGCCACTATCTTTGTAAAACTGACTGACATTTCTGTCCTAAAATTAAATGATGCAGCTAGCGAAAAGAATCACCGAGAAAAAGATGGTTGATTCCCCAAATTCACATGAGAGATCTGAGCATACTGAGTATTTTGTATCTGAGAATCAATATCGTACAACGCTTCATTTTAATACTTATATATTATCATCTAAACTTCAAGACAGATATTTAATGACGAAGAACAGAGATATTGTGGAAATAAAAGAGATTAAGCAGTTACATGAATCTAATGTAGTGCATATTCATGGCTACAGATTAAGAGACAAATTCGACATATTTCATCGTCCTATTAAATCATCATATTTGGATATGTTTAAAGTTGCAAATATTGCAGAAAATCGAGAAGAAATTGTCATATTACCAGGAGATGTCCAATTTAAACTTGTGTGTATTGAACTTAAAGTTTCTCTTTACTTCTTTCCTTTACTTCACACTGTGTAAGAGTTTGAAATAAACGCAATTAATTAATTTTTTTTTTATTTGTCATCAACTTACTCCAAAATTAACAATATTTTACAAAATTTGAGATCAGAAACTTTTAAATAACAATTACAATAATTAAATGCAAATCAGTATCAGATACATTTTACTGAAATATTAACATAAAATTTACCTACTCGTATGATTAGTTCTTGTAATAAAACTTTTGCATTATAACTAAGGTACTATTAACTTCTAAAACAACAACGAAAATATGATGATTAGGTATTAAAACAATAATACTCATTGTTGTAATTAGCCTAAGAGCATTTTCATCATGATTAAATTAGGTACTTCAATTAATTAACAAAAGCAAATTAGGTAATATTTTTTTTTATCAAAAATTGACATTTTCATCTGCTATAAATAGGAACATGTAAGTTACTTGGTATTAAAAGTCTAATGAGTAAGCCTGTTAAGGTTCTTATCTACTTGTAAACAATTTATATTTTATTAGAAAACAAGACATTAAATTATTCTAAATGGCTTGTCTTTTCTTTATTTTAAATATTAGTTTATATATAAAATATTTTGTTTATATTTAGATAAGAACACAAAGATACAGATATATAAATTAACTTTAAGCTAATTGGTTACACCACCAATTGGCTTAAAGTTAATTTATTATTATAAAATAAATATTATTAAGTCAGATATAATTTAAGTTTGTCATAAAATATAATCAGAAAAATCAGAAAAGGATAATCAGAACCTTTTCTGATACCTGTAAAGAAATTAAGAAATTAGCATAGGGACTGCTCTTCGATTGACTCGTCACCTGAGGCTGTGGAATAATTTTTGGATTCAGGTATATCGATTGAGTGATTGCTGGGTTGATTTTTAACATTAGTTTTAGCAGTTGGTGCGAATTCTATGTCACTGGTTGTTTCAGGTTTGTTTGCGTCTTGTTTGTCATTTTTGGCATTATTCTCATCATCATTAGGCTTTGTACCAGTTTCATTCTTTTCAATTTTGGCTCGTTTTCGTGTAGTAGATGACCTTGCTTGTTTAGCATTTTTTCTTTTGTTGGAATTCTTCAAAACACTTTTCAAAAATAGCTCGTTGTCTTCTATTGTAAAGGGTCAGGTCCCAATGAAAAATCATTTCCCAGAAGAACGACACAACATTTTTGTAGCATTTAAAACTATATTTAATGCCGTCAGAACGAGAACTGCCGCTCCAAGAACACATACACAAGAAATCACGCGAAAACATGATATCTATAAGTTTATAGGCACAGTTATTTCCCTTTCCACCAGAACAAACAACTGATAAAGTTTCTTTCAGTCGTTTTCTAGCAGTTTTATTAGAAAGTGAATCATTAATTTTAATCAATTCTTCAACAGTTGTGATTGGAGAGAAGCTGAATCCCATATTCTCAACTTTATTTTTAGTCACCGCCGACAAGGGAACAATATGGTCTTCTTTAACATTACCGAGTTGTAATTGCACATTATCGACTTGAATAGAAAGGCAAGCCATCTTATACATAATTTTTTTTTTGTTTTCCAATATCGTATCCATCTTTCTATTGTGGTTTCCCAGTGTGAGATTAATATTTTCTAAAGATTTATATAAATCACAATTTTCTTTTGGTTTGTCTATAAAGTGCTCTTGGTCTGCAGCAAGCACACAGTAGGTATTTGTAGGTATACCCAGTATTTGGTTATCTGCAGTCAAAATTATTTGAGACGAAGACTCGTAGGACTCTTCGGGTACAGAAATCATGGGTGGATTGTCTTGGTCAGCCTGAGAAAAAAATCACACACAATAAAAGACATATAAGAGTTGATCTTGGAAATTTATATAGGATAGTTTTTATCACGGTATAATGCCGATATTATAAGTAACCAAATTTCACATACATAGAGTGAAATCGCTTGTAAAATCTAGATAGTCTCATTAAAAAATCAATTAAAGAAGCCTGAATTAAAAATGTAAAGTAATACATACCAATTGTTCCATAGCTGAATTCATGTTCACTTCTTTTTGGTTGGACATTGTTATTTTTCTAATAAAGTCGTCCTCGTCTGTATCGGTAACATTTAATAATCTGCTCAGTTCCCGATCGGCTTCCTTATAAGTTGGGATATTTGACCTTTTTACTTGGCATTTAATATGTAGCCAGTCTGGCTCTGGTACGGAATCTATGCATTTCACAAGTTCCGAAATGTTTTTTTTTGGCCATTTTACATTATTATCATGTTCCCACGAAGAAGGAACAATCCAATGCCTGTATACTCCTTTTTCTAAAGATTTTACAATCTTGAAAGACATCCTGAAATTGAGATTTATATGTCTATAATATAGAATTTTATACAATAAAGAAGCGTACATTGTATTGCGTTCTCAACCCTATAAACACATTTTTTTTATTAACGTAAAAAAATGTGTTTATATGAAGAGACATTATCTACCTAGTAAAATTTTTAAAACAGCATAATTGTAGCTACTTACGTTAACAAATTTATAGCAGTACAGTAGGTATACAGATTTCGCGCGGTGTCCGATAACAGCGCCAAAAACAAGACACGCAAACGAGCGGCGCCAGCGGGCCAAGAGTCGAGACTGAATTGAAGATTTGTGTTGCGCGCGGGCTCATTCATCAGTCTGGCAGCGTAGTAGGTATTCGTTGCGCATGATTGGTTGATCTGCCGAATCATGTAGGTTTAGTAGGTAACGCATACAAAGTGAATACAACGGACGCTTCGTTTATAAACATAGTTTTATACTGGAAATAAAGCCAAATCTGCATTAAAACAACAAAGGCTTTCAGAATGTTACGGTACTTAAATATGTAGTCAGACAGGGAAGGGAAGGTATTCAAATTACGACATATCTTTTTAATTTGGCAAGTCAAACAATATAAATAAATACATAACCAATAAAAGCAATGTATATGTAAGAAAAACATTTATATGTATTATTTACATGTGTAAACAATAAAAACAATGTAGCCCTTTCTCAACTTTTTTGATATGTTTAGGTACTAGTCTTGCAAAAGTCTAAACTCAAGTAATGGTTTTGGGTAAAAATCGGAAACGGCACGGATCCCTAAATTCACGAGCCCACCATTTTTCGATTACGAACTTAATTAAAACAGTAGAAAGTACGAAACAAAAACTTATGACAATAAAGTTATTTCTCTTTCTAGCGTTTTGATAACAGGTTCACGACATTTATAAGTCAATAGGCAAAGTTTTAAAACATTTTTATTAAAATAATGTTTCGCTTTACTTGAAGTAAAACATTTTTTTACATAAATACACAACTAAGAGTGGGCCCCTTAAATATTTGCTTATAATATATAGCCACATTCACAGTAAACTTACCTTCGTATTGAAAATTCCGCTTCAGTTCTTCACTAATAATTTAAAATTTCACCACTAACTCCACCATATTTATTTTCGTAAAGACCATTACTGTGTAATAACATTTCATATTAAGGCAAAACGTAATGTTAAGCAGGCTAAGAAAAAAAGTAAAAACTATGTCTTTAAACGTTATAATTTCCTATTGTAGATCTGTACTGCGACTGCAAGAGCTACAATTTACCTTATTGCCACCCTATAACTGCTTAGAGAGTTAGTAAGATGCATCTTAGATCTACTATAACCCTTACGGAGTTAATATTCATACATTTGCTTCCTTTGTAGAACTCAAAGGTCTAAAGGTGGCCTGTAGCTCTATTATACCACTTGAAGAGTCACTAGACACTTAAATACTTCTTTTATAACGCTTTAGGCTCAGTTAGCGCTTATGTACCTCCACAATAACTATACTATATCTCTTAAACGCATTCTGTAACTCTACTATATCGCCACAGTGGAGCCCAAGGCCATAAGAATTTGTGCCCAATCCAGGGGTACAGTAGAGTTATAGCTCCCTATAACTCCATGTGATAACACTTTAGAACACCACAGGATCTGTTTAGCTCTTTTGTAGATCTGTTCTAACTCTTATGTTAGCGCCTAATGTTACTTGGGATATCATCCTCTAAATTAATCCGTGCATTGAGGCAAAGGTCGTGTAAACACAAATCAATGGACCTACTTTTCACTACATTTCCTCGCATTCTTTGTTTACTTTGAAGCATAGCTTCAATAGCAGGATAGTTAGTGCTACTAGTGCTAGGCATCGGATTGTCTGTATCCAATTCAGTAGCAACCAATTCAGGATTGGAAGACAATGAGTCCCTTTCTTTTAGACTGTTGATTTGCATATACACCTGTTTCAAAAGTGTCCTTGCCTTTTGGCACTGTTCTGGAGACAATATAACATTCAGGCGGCTATCCAAATACAAAGCCTCTAAAACCACGTCATTTATCATTAAGTTTGTTTCTCGTTTCGTCATAGCAGTATGCAGAGCAACTGCAAAACTGTGGTCTATTATGGCGACTTTATTTTTGCAATTAAGCCACGTGATATAAAAATCACCCATAATTTGTTGTTCTTTTTGAAGTCTCAAAGTGGCTTCATTTGCTGGCTCAAAACATTTGATTGAATCCTCGACTTCGCGCCAAAAAATATTTGATACTAACATTAATATTTCCGGGGTATCTTCACAAAATGTTCGAAGACTTATTAATCGAACCAACATGTTATATGTTGAGGTCCACCTAGTAGCGCAGTCTTTAATCGGCTTCCTTAAACTTGCATGTCTTAAACGGTTCAAATTATTCGGCTTGCGTAATATATTAACCACATTTTTTGCCATTGCTATCGTTGATTGTATACTAAAGTAGGGTAATATTGGGCATTCTGTCCCCCACTCGTTTTGCCGCCACTCACTCATGGAATGACAGTATGCCCAATATTATAAATAGATATTACATTCATTTGATGACAGTTTTTTTAAAGAAAATCCATAAAATGTTTCTGATTATTCGCACTTTATATAAATAGTCAAAGGACAATGGGCAAATTCGTATGGGGCTTGTCCCATTGGCAGCCATTAAAGAACTATTTATTTTTTGTTACATAAATATGTACAGAATAAAAATATTTTTATCTTATCATTGCAGGCCATTTGAGAAAAAAGTTATTGCGTATAAGATATAACAGGCGAATGTAGTAATAAAGTTGAATATTACTGTGCAACGTGCGTTTAAGAATTTATCATTAATAAAATGAATGTCATTTATTGTAATATGTTATATTGCATATAGGTTTTGATTGTAGGATGAGTAAGACAAAATGTAATTATGAAAAATATTTATTTTTAAACATCGTCAACAATTACATCATTTAGAAAATCGGCAGGCAAAGCAATATCGTGATCTTGTTTTCTAGCCCACCCTAAATACCACACGACACACATGACGTGGGCGCAGCAGCCCAGTGTCCGCTTACCACTGACGCAACTACAGTAAAAATTATCCAGAGCATGTTGACCATTTCTTTCCATGTCTACTAGAATATAAGAATAATATATTTTGGACTTCACATGTCTTGATTGTATGCGGCAGCGCAGAAGCCAAACTTCTGCAGATGTAATTCCGTATTTGGTTAGGCCTGCTGTATCTTGATCTCTGTACACCGCAATGTTAAACAAGCCTTGTCGAACATGCTCTGCGTAATAACTGCGTGCCAGTTTGACTTGGTATGTGCCGAGCGCGAATATCACTAGATCTTCTTCGGTCAACGTCGGGAAGTTACTTAAATTCGGATGATTTCCTGTGATGCTGTCAAAGGTAGCTCGTCGGCGATTTAAATTATTTGTCACGACATATTCCGAAAGGATGTTTGGTTGGTTTAACCGCTCATTAATTATATTAACAAATGTCTCGGCGTGTACACTATCTTCTAGTGGTACCCGGTATGCATTGAGTAGCGCAGCTGCTATTTTAAAATCTTTCATCATATGCAGGAGTGCTCTGTTAAAAAAATCTTGTCTGAACAGTTTGAAATCACGTTTGAACCAACCGTTAATAACTTCCACGACCCACCGACATATAGTAACCAACCTAGTTTTATTAGCTTGTTCGGTTGTTAATTGGTCCTCATTCCTGTTTTTTGTTTTTGGCATATGAGCCTCATAGCCGTAAGCTTCGAGATCGTCTATGACATCACGGAATCCTCGATCTAAGACGAATACATCTCCCTGTTCGAAGCACCAGTGGAAACCATCGTCTACTTTTTCTATCATATTTTTCATGATGGTTGCATCCGACTCGGTGGCTGCATAGGGTCCAAATACATCTATGATATGTCCATCGCAGCAAACCATAATAAATGGCTTCAACAAGTTGGTGAATTTATGTAGACTGTATGATTGTCTTTGGAATAAATAATTAGAAGATTTTTGAATATAAATATACGTAGCGTCACATATCACCACTGGTTTTTCTTCTGATCCAGGGCTGCCGAAGATACTGTTAGGAACTAAGAGGTTCCTTTGAGCTACCTCTCTCCTACTTATGTGATTGTAGCCCAAATGTCGGGGTACAAATTCTGAGTACAGGCACTCTCGAGCTGCATTGAGGTGCCTTTCAAAGGTTCGTCGACTCACCTTAAAAAGAGCCGCCAGTCGTTCGTTTGTTTCACCGCTTCGTAGCTTCATTAGAAAACCAGCCAACGCTAACTTTGGACGAGTTGATTCATTTGACAATGAAGGCGTTAGTTGTAGTATCTTCATAAATTGTTCACGACTAATACCGGTTCTAATATATACTTCATTGTCGTGCATTTCTTCTATCCGATCAAAGTCTATTATTGATCCTCGAAGCGCTGCAGTCTTCATCAAGTTCATCATGTGCACAAAATGGGTAGCATTAAAATCGTGGAGCAAGTTCGGACTGTCAATTACTTGGTCCCAGTCATTGGACTCTATATGATGAGCGCATACCCTTGCGCTATCGGGTATGTAGAAATTAAAATGTATCAAAAAGGTTATTTTGACATTATCCGGGATTCGACGCAGTGTTGATCTGCGGCAGTTCTCAAACAAACAACATGTAGCCGTATTTGGGACCCTCGAATATTCTTCTATTTGTAATGCACATTCGTGCGGCCGTTGATGATGCTGAGTAGCCCTTTCTGCTCGTTGCCAGCATGGCCGACAGATGAATTCTTGCTCGTTGAACTGCAGCTGGAAAAAAATCCACTTTAAGAGCATTGCCATAGGCACAAGCTTCGATATGGCGACTCGTAAAAAACAATATGACCGGTTCGATGACGCATTTGGTAGTGACTCTGTCCTTTGCCGACCTCCGTAGCCGAGAGGCGTACATATCGGTTTTCAAGGTGACGCTTTCTCAGAGGTCCCGGGTTCGATATTATTATTATTATTTGCGCCAGGGGTCGCAGGTTCGGTTCCCACCCAGGACAAACACATGTGTTTATTCATTTTGTAATACTAACCTGGTGTTCAGGAGCCATAGCCTCAATAATATATTGGGCTATCGAAGGGTTCGCTTCAAACAGAGCATGTGTTATTTCAAATCTTCTTCTGTTTATAACAGAGCGATTGCACAAAACACATAGACGACGATTATCTGCCATGGTTCACAAAATCCAATTCACAAAGCTTACAAAATCCAGAAACAAGCACAGGTCAACAAAGTGAGATGAAACAAGTCCGGTAGGCAAGCTAGAGTCGAATTAGGTTTGAAAACTGGGTACGTAAATCGCACAGTACACAACGAAACAAGCTTAAACGTAGGACTGCAACGGTCGCAGGCTTTCATCACCTGACCACATCATATCATGAGCTCGTCGCTGATTGGTCAGGGCCGCCGGCGTTAAGTGCGCTCGTCGCTGATTGGTTAGTTGTTTCTACCTGTTTAAACCCCACATGCAAGCGGCGTGCGCATGATTTTCTAAACAGGTAGAAACAAGTTCTAAGTAACAATGTTTAGTAATTAAGGTAATTATTATTTTAGGATATGTATGTAAGGATATGTACAAAATATGAATATATAAGCACTAGGATGTAAGTACCTTTTTTCTCAAATGGAATAAAGGTGTACTTTCTTAACCGAAGTTGTTCTTTATTAGCCCCCCTTTCGATTGATACCACTTTCATTACTGGCTGCTAATGGGACAGAACGCCCATTATCCTTTCAACATAATTTTCTTATTTTTAACTCATTACGACTAAAAGCTGACGGGATTCTTGGCTTAGATTTCCTGATTAAATACGAAGCTACTATAAATATAAATAGAAATACATTAACACTTTACAATAATGGAATAGAACATCTTTTTGATTTAATTGACCAATGTGATAGGACTTCTAAAAATCCCTGCTCGTTGTGAATCTATACACTTTATCGAGGTAGAAGATTTTATATCACTACCTATGCTGAGATTTAAGTTGACATAGCCTTGAGAATCTGCCTGTCCTCCAATGCCATTTATTATAGTATTATCTTTATGTATTTGTACACTATTAGGTACTGCTTCACTTTTTATGACTGATAAAGTGGCACCAGTATCTATAAGCCAATAATATCTGACATTATTTAAGTACTAAATATTTAGCTTTACCACTACATGACAGAATACAGTGCTTAAAGTCGAAAAAACTGATTGGAATCTGTAACTACCGAGCTCGATTCAGGATTTAGTTTAGGTTCTGAATCGTTAGCCTGTTCAGTTGTAAAAATATTTCTGCCATTCTTTTATAATATACGTTTCTGTTATTACTTCTGCCTCTTTGAATATTATTAGAAGATGAATTACGATTTTGACCTCTATATTTAGAGTAATTGTTGCGTCTTGCAGGCATGTGATAATGGCTAGTATAATGACCATATTTAGCGTTGTTATTATTATAGTTGCCTCTTGATATATAATACCCGCGCGAACGGTTACTTGTATTGAATCCACGTCCGTATTTAGATACATGCAAAATGGTACCTGACGGTGATGGAAATACTATCGTGTCTTCGTCCTTGGCTGCTTGTATAGCATCCTTCAGACTGCTGTAGTTGCGCGCGTTTATGATTGTAGCTAATCTGCCGTTGCGAAGTCCATCTGAAAACCGTTTAATAGCGATTTTTTCATTTAAAGGTTTCAATATAGAGAAGGCATTTGAGTTGCCATCTGCTTGTGCAATTGTCATTTCCGTGAATAATTTTTCAATCTCATTAGCATAATTGTCAATAGATTTTGTACCCTGTCTTGCATGTTGTAATTGAGTTTGAATTGCAATAAAAGATTTCATTGGCAATAACTGTGATTTGAGATCCTTGATTAAGTCCTCCATTTAGTTATAACTACTCGCCATACGTAGCTTTGCATTCTCGGACAATCTATTTTTAAGAATAAATGTTATTAAAAGGGTTTTACCTTTTTCGTCGATCATGTTTGCGTACATTTCAACGGAGTCTATAAGTCGCATGGCAGGGTCGCCATGACGTGGGTGGTCGGGATCGTTCAGTAAACAAATAAATGAGACAAACTTTTCGGACGATACTTATTTAATTACTAATTTTATAGAATTATTACATAGGTAAAATGCCTAGAGTGCAATATGATGCTTACCACTACTACTGGAACTTAGTGTCCCCTACTATCTAATATTACTCACTTCACCTCCGGGGGTGAAAGAAAAAAAATGTTTACACAAATATTTTTTTTTAATTTGACAAAACATTTATAATTCATTTTGTAGCAGACCGTCTAACTCACACGTCGGAGACCTGCAGCAACTCTGTGCCCACAGGCAGGGGGCATAGACTATTGCGTGTGAGACGGGCTAAAAAGCCCGCGCGATATAGAGAATAGAATTTTTGTCTATGAAGACATATAATAATAAAGATGGCAGATTTTGCATGTGTAATTTTGATTGCGTTGTGTTGTGAATAATAAAGTATTTACCGAATCTCTCTGGCGTCTTACTCACTAAAATTTATATTAATCATCTATAACTACTGATAATAGGGTCGTGTCCTATTTTTATGAACTAATTTTATCTTATTATCTGTATTTATTCTAACATTACATCCTAAGTCTTCTATCACTTTATGTGGACCTTTATACAGAGGATCTAATTTTTTGCCTGTCTCGTTTCTTAAAAGTACTAAATCATTTTTATTATATTTTATTGAGTTTACATAAGAATCATACTGCATTTTTCGCTTCTGTTTACTACATAATAGATTTTTTTTTGCATCAGCATGAGCATACTCACTTCACCGCTAACTTGCACCGAGTTCCAGAGCCATCGTCACGAGCTGGAAAGTGACCAACACCATCTCGAGCAATTTCACTTGATGGACGTACTTCTCCCGGTCTTCTTGGAACAATTACCGGTAAAGGACTACTGGAACTACTCGGACGACCCCTTTTAGCACCTGATATTCCCAAGTAGCACAGAAGGAATTATAATTATCCATACGTGGACCTCATTATGGCAATAGGCATTAAAAAAGATTTATAGAGGTTTCCCCAACATCCTAAAGCCGTAAAATTGAATTCAGTTTAACTTCGTATGCTAAAGGCTGCGTAAAAGCTGAATAATGGAGAAAACAAATGCCTTTTTAATGCATTTAGTGTAATTCTGTCTGATTGTAATGCCATTTTACTGCTTAAAGCATACTTTTATACCTAAGGTAGGTAACGTAAAAGAATTGTAAGAGTAGGCGCAAAATGCCAATGGTTCTATAACAGACACTGGTCATACCATTTTGATGCTGAATTTTAAAAGATGTAAGAATAACCATTTTAATGCTTAAAGTCAGTGTATGGGACAGTAATGGATCAATTTTAATGCTGTTATTCAGCTTTAGGCTACTTTAAATTCCTTGAGTTCTATAAAAGAACTTAAAGAGAGGTAGAAAATGGCTAAGGTTCTGTAGAATGGATGGGTTACACCATTTTGATTATGGCATTTTAAATGGGTGACTGTCATTCTTTTATAATTCTTAAGGCAATAAAAGAAGGCAATTTAGAGCGTCCTGAAGAGTAAAAGAATTTTAATAGAATTAATACGCCGTCGTATGCGTGTGTGGTTGAAAACAACAAAATGCTATCGTCTACGAAAAAAAAGGTAAAATCATGGAAAACGAAAGCTAGGACTGGTGGAACACGAAGGAAAATTTTACAAGAATATAATTCTTTTATGACTGCTAAAAAGGCGATATGCAAAACTCAAGAACAGCAGCAGAAACATCAAGAATGTTCTTCAAATAATGGCGTTGATTCCGTACCATTTTTTATTGAAACTAATATTATAAGGGAGACGTATAGCTCAAATCAAAGTGATTTAGAATGTGAAAGTGACTTAGAACAAGAAATTGAAGATTCTGTGAAACAGTCTGCATATCGTGAAAAAATCAGCATGTGGGCTATAGAACAAAACATTACTCATTCAGCGTTAAGGGAGTTGGCAAACATCACTAATGAATTAATTCCAAACGTACTACCAAGCGATCCCAGAACTATTTTAAGCACACCCAGAGAAGTAAATATTAAAACAATAGAAGGGGGCCATTTTTTTTTTAATAAATAATTTCTTTATTTTCAAAAAGAGATTGTAGCAGGTACATACTTAACAATAGCAATAGACAAATAACCAATTATTACAATCTAAGTGGATGAAGTACTGCTACCCTTGATAGGTTATATAATAACCTGTAGTAAGGTATAACAGTCCCTTTCCCTTTGGATTTACATTAGTTAATGTTATACATATGCAAGTTGCGTTCTTTTTTTTTTTTTACAATTAAGCATGCAAGTGTTAGTATTGTGTTTGTGTGTGTGTGTGTGTGTTTATGTGTGTGTGTGAGATTGTGCCTGGGTTCATATGTCAGGGTGCAGATGATATAAGTTATAACATAAGATCCTCTGTTTCAGCGTAGGTTTTATTTTGGAGATAGTTTTGGAGTCTTTTTTTGCATATGTAGTGTGATGAGCCATATATTGAGCAGTTCAGGCTGATTTTATTATATAGATATGGGCCCAAGTAGTAAAAAAATTTTTTTGTGGAAGATGTGCGTGGTTTTGGTACGGTGCATATTTTGTCTTTACGACGTTTGCTTATTTCTTTATATGGAGTGTTTTTGTGTTGTAATAGTACCGTGTGGAGTATAAAGAGTTGTCGCACATTTAGAACACCACAATCTTTATATAGTGTATTGGTTGGGAACATTATATGTCTAAATGTTGCTACTTTCAGGACAGCTCTGTGTGCTACTTCTAGTGGTTTCATAAATGTTTTTGGTGCACCACCCCAGCAAGATATACAGTAAGTTACAATTGAAAGACAAAGGGCATAGTATACGTTGCGGATGACAGTTTGGTTTGCTACGTGTCGTAAAGTTTTAAATATATGTATGAGTTTCCGAACACGGCCTACAAGTAAATTTATATGTAGTCTGAAGGTTAGACATTGGTCTAAGACCACTCCTAAATATTTAATGTTGTCAACATGTACTAGTGTGGGACAGTTACAGGACATTTGGGATGGATTGATGCAGAGATGAGATTTTAATGTAATTGGAGATTTGGGTTGTGATATTGAACTAATTGAGAAGGTGATGTATTTAGTTTTATATATATTGAGTGTCAGGGTATGTGATTGAAGCCAGGTTGATATCAGATTAAAGGCATTCTGTGCCTTGCGTTCTAGATCTGACCATGCATCAGCAACGATAGTTATAGCTGTGTCATCAGCGTAGCATGTAGTTATAGCATTTGGTATCTTTAACTTACACAGACCATCTATAAATATGAGAAATAGAGTAGGACCGATTATACTGCCCTGGGGTACACCGTATTGGATGGGTAATTCACTACTAGTGTGGCCATCAATTATAACCATTTGTGAGCGATCTGTGAGATAACTTTGAAGTAGCTTTAATGGGGGTCCTCTGACACCTATTTGTTCAAGTTTTAGTATGAGGGTGGATAGAGGAATCGTATCAAACGCCTTTGTAAGGTCTATAAATATTGATAAAACTTTTTTATTATCATTTAGATTCTGAACGATAAAGTTCGTTAGTTCGTGGATAGCGTCAGCAGTAGATTTCTTCGGGCGGAAACCATACTGTTGAGCTGATAGCAGATTATAACGTTCCAGGTATGAAACAAGTCTTTTATTAATTAACCGTTCGAATACCTTCGATAAGGAACTTAGCACCGCAATAGGGCGATAGTTGTTCGTCAGGCTCGCGTCACCTCCTTTAAAGATAGGATGGATTATAGCTTTCTTAAAAGCGTTTGGAAAGACAGCGGTGTCGATGCAAAGGTTAAATAAGTAGCTTAGGATAGGTGCCAGGAAAAATGTGTATCGCTGTAAGATGTACGGTGAGACACCGTCCCATCCAGTGGAAGCATTTGCACGAAGTGAGTGCAAAGTCGATATTATTTCATCATGGTCAGTGTAAGCTAAGACGAATGAAGAACAAGGTGTTGAATTCTGAACAGATTGTGCGATGGTGGTTTGTTGTGATGACTGGTGTTTTGTTATGTTGTCTGCGAGATTTTTACCAATATTAGCGAAAAAATAATTAACGTCATTACATGCCTGAAGATATGAAGATGAGGTTTTAAGTAGTTGTGTGGAGGTGTTTTTAACTTTCGTGGTGTTAGTTATTTTCTTTATTGTGTCCCATAGTAATTTTGGATTATTAGTGGCTTTTTGTATTTGTTGTGCATCATAGCGTCTCTTAGTTTTTTTAAGAATACTGGTACAGAAGTTTCTATATCGCTTATAAGTAATAGTCAAGATTTCATTGGTTGGACTTTGTTTTACTTTTTTGTGTAGCGCATCCCTGTGTTTTATACATCTTAGTAGTCCGGGAGTAATCCACGGTTTGAGTATTTTCTTTTGTGATGGAACTTTTTTGACTGTAGTATGTTTGTTAATAGCTAATCTTAATAGTTTTGTAAGCTCGTCGGCTAGCGTATTCGAATCTGTTACCGCAAAAAGTGGGGTAAAGTCTATTTTAGATATTGTATTGTCGAGTGCTTCGTAATCGATCTTACTGACGGAGGACGTGACCATTTGCCTAATCCTATGATAATTCACACAAAACATGGTAGAATAATGGTCGGTAATGGTGGATTCATATACAAATGTTAGTGTAGGGGACTTTGTTCTTATGACGATATGGTCTAAGCAGTTGTTACCTCTAGTAGGAAGGGTGTGAGCAGGGAGGAAACCATTAAAAGCGAGACAATTTAAGTAATCGTTTGAACGAGTGTCGTTAGTGTTAGGTTTAATATCGATATTGAGATCACCTGTTATTGCTACTGTTTTAAAGGAAGTTAGTGTTGAAAGTAGGCTATTGAGGGCTAATAAGAAATTGTTAATGTTTTCAGTCGAGGGTGATCTGTATATGGCGATTACTGCTAAGTCGGAATTTATTTTAATAACGATTCCAGAAGCTGCTTGATTGAAGTTGAGCTCATCACACATGGCTGTGAGTCCTGCCCTAATGTATACCACCACTCCGTCGCTTTGGTTAATATGTTTAGTGGTCTTGCACATAGTATAGTTTTGTAGCGTTGGAATGATAGAATTACAAGCACAGGACAACCAGCATTCAGTTAAAATGACCAAGTCAGAGTCAAATGGAATACGATGCATAAAAGTTTGTAAGTTTAGAAAGTTACAGTTTATTGATCTGATATTCTGAGTCCTCTTACTCGTCCTCTTCATAAAATATTACAAAACTGGATTGATGTTCCTGATCAAATTTCATTAAACATCAACTTGGATGGACTGCCAATTTTTAAAAGTTCAAAAAATGAATTTTGGCCGATATTAGGAAATATACAGCGTGTTTGGTAATACCTGTATAATCCCGAATATGGCACATACGGTATGATGAATAGAACCCAGAAAAATGATCACTAAGTCTGATACCCAGCACATGACCTAGATATTTAGCTTTTTCTCTTCGAAGTAAAATTGTACGCTGACGACCCTAAAAACAGCTGTTGTGTTGTATTGACTCCATGTGCTGAACTAGTTTAAAAAATAACAGAAGTTAAATAAATCTAAAGATAAATGCCTAGAATAAGTATGCATCTGAGAGTAATTTATTATTTCAAAACAAAGAAAAAGTTAGTAGTAAATGGCTTTTAACCATAAAAGTACACCAATCTTGTGATTACCGGTGTTTCAAAAACTATTATTAGGAAAACTTCTCTAATAATACAGTCAAAATAAAAAAGAAATTGCAAATACTTTGATTGAAGTTAGATATCTGCACTATTGCTCACATTAGTCTATGCAAGAAGGAGCGACAGATACATAAAATCGACGACGATGTGTATTGAGAAACTCGGGTTTCTGATGTGTCAGTAAGGTTCTGTAGATTAATTGCTTTGAAGTTTTGTTATTTTTTTCATAAAGCAGTGTTATTTTCACGAAACAATAAAATACGGACTTATACAATGATATTAATAATCTAAACATCTCGATTATTCTTAGTTTAAATGATAATTTAAAAAAGGTTAGTTGTAATGGAAAGGTCTAATAATAAATAATATTTCTTTTCTTTTCTAATTTAATCAATAATTTTTATGCCTTATAATTTTGTTAATGACTTGGTCTTAAATTAGGTAACCACTTTTAATATTATGGCCTTTTTTTTCTTTTGTAACCGTGAAAAGCGTAAATAAAATTGTAATAATAAGTAAACAGCCTAAATAAATAAAAAAAACAGTATAATAAGTTTCATTGTTTAATTAAATAATAAAATAACGATTTTTGTTAGGTAGGTTACCTAACACAGAATTCTTAGGTTACCTAACACGGAACCCTAAATCGGTGCACTTTTGATTTAGGTACCTATATTGGTGTTCGAGTTGTAATAATTACCTATGTAGTTTTGGTCATCGCTTCAGTCGCGTCGGAGACTTTCATCGGTGTACTTGTGAGTTTTCAGAATTTAGAAGGTCAACTTACGTTTTTGTTCTTTCGGGACTTTTGGTTTATTTTTCATACTCGTTCTGTTTACCTGTGTGTTGTGTTTGTGTGCGGTCAGTGCAAGAGATGTGTGTTTTATGCGGTGGCCGGCATATCGAGACCTTGGACTGATAAAGTGGAGGTGAAGTGTAGGTAATGTTGACAAGTGAGAGCTGAGAGAGTGATTAGAACGCTGCCTCTAGGTATGTACCTGTTTAATCTTAAATTGTTTGAATTACAAGTAAACTCGTACGCAGTCAAGTGCGCACGTCGGCGAAATCAAAGTGTATTCTAGGAAACGAGAGCGAGTGAGACGTAATGTGTGTGAGAGAGAGAGAGAGAGAGTGAGTACGCCGAGACGGCACGTATAAGCTTTCAGGGTTGTAGAATATTAATTGAAAACAAATTGTTCAAATATTTGTATGAAAATCTCAATTTACGTGAAATTGTTTTTTGACATATTAATTATGTTCTTTGTGCTAAGTTGTATGGCCATGTTTCGGGATTATACATGTATTACCAAACACGCTGTATATGAAAATCCTAACATACAACCTTTTGTGATCGGCATTTATTTTGGAGTAGGCAAACCT